CCCTATCTTCTTACTTTTCTAGCTTAGRTRTAGYAAATAGAATATCCTTCTTCTAGAATATAGGGTATTTTARTATTAGTARGATAAAGTTCCTTAGTCTAYCTAAAGGGTTTTTYACTTAGTTACTATTTTTTAGGTRRTTTATATAAAAGRTAAGRTATTATTAATTATCCTAGAGGAAATCTAAGAGCCTAATAAATTATTTTATAGCAGCTCTAATAGTTACTTATATATATATCTAGTTATTTAGAAATTCCATATCTTTAGGGTGTTCCTAATATTAAAGAAGGAAAATCACTTAAGTAATTATATTAGGATTAAAATCTTTTATAAAGCTATGCCCTGTTTCCTTAAAAGACTAAAGTTATATAGTAAGGGAAATAAGCTACTTATTAACCTTATTAGTTATAGAAGTAGGATTTTTAAAATAATGCTTTAATAATTAGGATAAGTAATATACTAATTATACTCACAGATATAATAATTATTAAGGAAATACTAATAATATAAAGTTTAGAATAACAGAATATAATATAGAACTATATAATATAAAGTTTAGAAATAATAGAATAGAATATAGAATTAGACCAGACTTTAATGGCTATAAGAAGCTGTTGATAAACACAGTAAATTATAAGGTAGAAGTAGATTAGAAAAATATAGTAAAAGATAAAACTTAGATAATTTAACTTTAGAAAGTTAAAAGATAAAGGAATTAGTGAGAATTAATAGTTTTTAATAAAGTAAAGTATTTAAAAGATAGTTATTTAAAAGGTTTAAAAAAGAGGATTAAGGTTATTAAGTAATAATAACTAGGGTCCTAAGCTATAGTATAACTAACTAACTTCTTTATTAGGAAAGCAGTAGAATGTATTAAAATATCTTAGTAGTAGAATTAATTAAAAAGATATAGGGAAAACTACTGCAGCTTTAATTATTAATTAATAGTTAGAAATTAATAAAATAAATAAAAAGTTAATTAATTAGTTTTCCCTAATTAAGTCCTGAATGCCCAGGACATGCTACTATTTGGTATAGTACTTTAGTATAGCTATGCTGATCATAGGGAAGATAGTTGTTATTCCTTAAACTACTGGCTATAGATGGATAGATACAGCGAAGCAAGGTCACATGATACTGACATGCAACAGTAGTAGTAGTAATTAGCTAGCTAGTTAATATATACCTTCTAGATTTAATAATAGTTTACTAATTATTTTAGCCCCTTTAGGCCTACAGTATTCTATGTTAGCTACGCCATACAGTGGCGCAGGTGGCTAGGCTAGTCTAGTATTTAGGGCTAGGTTAGTAGGCTAGGATAGGTATATAAAGAAAAGAGGTTAATTCTATAGTTATTTATAGGATATTTAGTATTTATATTAGTATACAGGGTACTATTTACTATTAGCTTAGTAGGGACTATAGTAGATAGTATAGTAGTGCTAGGAAGAGACTTCTTTAATCTTATAGAACTTCTTATTATAGATATTAGTATAATATAGATATATAACTCTTTTAGCTGTGTAAATAGGCTAGGTATATCTATAATTTAGGTATTAGGTATACTATATAAGCTAGTAAAGTAGGTTAAATAGTTCTATATATAGTAGGGTGCTATCTAGGAAGATCTAGTTCTAAATAGTATAGTTTATTAATTATATATCTTAAAAGAAGACTACTAGGGAAGACTTCTACTTATACTATTAGGCTATAGTATTATTCCTATACTAGCCTATATATAGTATAGGGCTGTAGAGTACTAGATTATAGTATAGGATCTTCTTCTAGAGGTGTTCTACTATACTTAGGGAGAGGAGGAAAGTAATAAGGATATAATAGATAAGGATAGTATACTAATAATTAGTAATATAGATATATTCCCCCTTAGGGAGCTCCTAGAGCTATACCTCTTTATTCTAGAGTAGGTACTCCTAATCTAATATAGAGTAGGTATATATATCTAGATTATTATTATAAAGTATCTAAGCCCCTACCATCTATATACTAGCTAGGTCAGGGAGGCTACTATAGTAGAGAATCTCCTAGATCTTATCTATAATAACTATAATAGTAATTTACTTATAAGGGCTAGCTCCTAGGCTATTTCTATATCTATACTACTAGATCTAGATATAGTTCTTATTATTACAGGGGGGTACCACCAGGGGGGAGGAGGTAGAAGATAGATAATAGTTAGAGAAGAAGAAGAGATTACTTAGTATCTACTAGGTCTAGTTAAAGACTCCTTAGGCCCTAGGGGTTATAGATAAAAAAGTAGCTAAGCTATACTTATTTACTTCTATATTATTTATATCTAGAGCCTATATACTATAATTACTAGTAATTATACTATAGACTTAGCTCTCTAGTAGTTTTATAACTAGAGTATAGGCCTACTAGGTAAAACCTTTAATCTAGGGGACTTTAGCAGATCTACTAGGGTAAGCCTAAGTAAATTTAATAATATCTATATAGTATACTATAAAATAAAAGAAATAATTAATAATAGAAGAATTATTACTAGCTACTAGGGCTAGCTACTAAGCTATAATATTAAGATAACTAGGCCCTAGTAGAAAGTATAAGATAGTATATAATTAAAGTATAAGATAGTATATAATATTAGAGTAAAGTCTATAARTAGCCTAACCTAGTATAGRGAGRYAGCYTAATAAGAGGGGTARAGCCCTAATCTAGTTAGATAACTACTCTAYCTAAAGGRTTATTATTAGTAGATAGCTAGAGCTAAATCTTAGAGRTCTAGRRTTYAGTAYCTCTAATTAGTAGGGGTRGGCCCTAAAGATCCTAGATACTAGGGCCTTTAATTAGTAGTAGAGATTAATATATAGGATCCTAATTAGAAAGCTACTAATTAAAATAATAGGTTAATATATATTTAATTATATAGAGATAACTCTTAGGGGTAAGGAGGTTAGATTTTAGAGTCTAGTAAGATCCCTATTATTAATTATTATATAGATTAGTATTTAAGGGGCCTGGCTGGCTAGCTAGCTAGCTATTAATTTAGCTTATAAGGCCTAGAACCCCCTATATATACTTATCTCTCTTAATAAAG